GAGACAATTCTTTCAATAGTGACTGATCCAGCGCTTATAACTAAGAAGTTTTGGTCACATGTGAAGACTCAATCTAACTCCTGCCGTATTCCTAATTGTGTTAGTGATTCTGGACAGCTTAGTTCAAACCAAGCTCAAGCTGATCTTATCAATTCTTTCTTTTTGTAACCAGTTTTCGGATCCTTCACTTTATGACACTAGACATCTCTATGTCATGATGTGATTTTGATATTGACTTTGGATCATCGGGATGTTCGTAAGCTTCTTCAATCTTAATTCAATAAAGGCCCAGGGACCAGATGGCATACACGGTAAAATTCTCTAAAATTGTTCCGTAGGTGTAGCTTACCTCTTAACATGCATTTTTCGTGGATCTTACACCAGCGGCTACCTTCCACAAGAAGGGAAACTGCAAAAGTTGTCCCAATTTTAAGAAAGGTAAGAAAAGTGTGTGGAAAAACTATAGGACCAATATCCCTTACTTGTTTAGTCATGACAAGTTTTTGAGCGGCATTGTTAAACGTAAATGCTTTCTATTGACAAGTACCTTCTTGTTCCAGGCAGCCATGGTTTTCTAGAGCACAAGTCATGCACAACAAAGGGTTGAATTTTGTGATAGCAAGGCATTGTCTCTTAACGAAAACATCTATCAATCATGTGTGTATTTTGATTGTCACTAAGGCATTTGATTCTGTAAATCTTGATATCCTTCTTCTTAAGCTAAAGACCTTATTAACATTGATGGATACACTTTTCAAATTTCTTACCAATATACCTTCAAGGCCGTTACAAAGAGTGGTATTGGTAATGAGATGTCATCTACCCTACTCAGTTAATTCTGGTGTCCCCAAGGGCTCTATTCTTGGTCCTATTACTTTTTTGTTTATACTTGTTTATCAATGATTTTTCTCTTGGCCTTCTCGGTAATTACTGATATTGTTTTATATGCGATGTTACAAAAATCTGGGCGTAAAATACATTTCTATCTTCTGTAATATAATTTACAAATGGATTTAGACTATCTCTCTGACTTGGGCATAGAAACAAAATGCGTTCCATCCAGCAAAAGTAAAGTGCTTATTGTTTTCGGGAAAACCATCTTGATCTCCTCGTGCGCATATGATCTTGGATGGCTCTCCTCTTGTGTATGTAGAGTTAGAAAAGATTCTTGGAGTCGATGTTACTCCTAAGCTAAGTTGGAATAGTCAGTGCCGCAGAATATATACTAAGGCCTGCAACAACTTGTTTGGTCAGAAGAGATGGCCCATATTGTCATTGATCAGAAACGTCGCCGGGCGCTTTACACTTCTGGTTCGTAGCCATTCGAAAAATTGTTCCATAATCTGGCGCCTTGTATAAATCACTAGTGATATAATTAGAAAGTCTCAAAGGAGAGCTTTTAATGGATTCTGTCGAGAAGAGGGCGCAGTTATCCACCGGAGCAATATGTCAAAAAGTGCACGATTGTCGCATTCTCCCTTTGTCTCAAAGTTTGACTTGAATGATCTTATTTTTTTACACAAGTTCTTAACAATTTAATTCCTGTATCGCTTGCCTCACTATTCTCTCTTTATATCAGGGCACTTCTCGGACTAAGACGTTGCTACTCGACAGTCTGTCTATTGTGTCATCAATTTTACCTAAGTTAAGTTCAGGAATTCACCACAACCACATGTTACATCAATAGCCCACTGGCAAAATCATTTTTCTACTGAACCCATATACTGTGGAATGCTCCCTTTACAGTTAGACAGATTGTGTCTACTAGTCTTTTCAAAGCTGAGTGTCACTAGCATCTAATGGAAATGTTATTGGATAGTGAAACAACAGTCTAGCCTGGTCTCTTTGCTCCCCATATTATTATTATTTTTTGTTTTCTTAATTTTTTATCTACTTCCCATACTTTCAACATTCATATCACCTTCACCGCACACCTTCTCACACATTAATGACATTTCCAGACCTTTATTAATGTATCTGGAATTGACGTATTGAATACCAATTTTGACTCTATATCCACAGTTACTCACCATGGATTTATTTGTATTAATAGTTTTTCATAAATTTTTGGATTAGATTAATTCGATGTCATGGGCCAAGTTATGCGGGGACATCGTTCAACTATGTGTTTTACCGTGTTGGGTGCCATCTATTTTTTTTTTTTACAGATGGGGGCCGAGATTTTGAACGATTTGATTTTATATTCATCTATTGCTGTACTCTGTAAAATTGAAAAGTATTTAATAAAAAAATTTATAACGATTCGCAGACTTCTGCAGAACGATATGAAAATTGTCTTCCAAAGAGTTGGGTTTAATCAACATAGAGGTTAAATTAAACAGGAATCAGAAGGGGTGCAAGTTATTTAAGATTTTTTTCTGCATTTTTGCCACCCTCCCATTATTAGTCAGTCCCAGCTGTTACTGGGAAGACAAGATCAGATATGGATGTGAAAATAAACATCTTTATTTATGTAAGATGTGGAGAATATGTAAATTGCTTACCAAATTTTCAAATAATGTTTTAAAACTAAAATAAAAAATCAAGTATGATTTCAATTCGACAGTTTAAAACATATATGATATAAGAACATCAGATAAGAATTTTTTTAGTTCATTTGTAATAACCCAATCTTTGATTAAACTATCTATTTTTTGTTTTTGGTGACTGAATAGATTAAGGATGTATGTAAGGCATAATGAATATCCAAGACCAAATCGGAGAAACTATACAGTACACGTTGTTCTTCCTGATTTTTACGTGACATGTGTTATTTAAATGTTGCTTCCTCTGTCAAGGTTACATTACAGATGTAGATTGTAGGCAAAGGTAACAGTGTTATCTGCGATAGTTCACTAACCAGAGGACTGTAGGTCTATTTCCGAGGAAACACTACATATTGCTGACAAGTATGTGAATCTTTCCTCCTACTTGGACATCATGTTTTGGATGTGGCCTCACTGCACTGGAATGCAAATTTAATTCCAAAGGCGATTGATGTCAAATAACTTGTTTGTTTGGAGCAATTGGGGTTGTAACAATATGTTTTCTAATTTCAAACAAAGCAACCATTTATATTTGTTTTAACCTATATTTTTTATGGTTTAGTTAGATTGTTTACATGAAGGCCTCCTGAGGGAGTGAGCCAGGAGACCCAAGTTTTCACTCCTGATGATAACGTTTGAAGGAATAATTGGCTTCTTATAAATTTTTCATGGGGGCAACCCAGCTCAGCCAGGGATATGAGTACTGAATTCTCTTTAATAGATAATTTATGTGGCAATTTGATTTATATCTCATTTATTCAGAATGATGAGGCCTCATGTATGTATGGACAACAAAAATACTTTACTGTCGCTTTTATTGTACACCAGATATTGCCTCAATCAAAAGCTAACAAGTGATGTGTGGTGTCATTGTTATTGTTATGCGTTGTGATTAGATTTGATAACCCCATTACCAATTATATGCACACTCAACTTATTGGTGTGATTAACAGCACCTGATGAAAGTATTAAACACCATTGACTAGTCGAAGAGACCTGGTGACAATCTCATGCTCAAGGTACCAAAGAATAAAAAATTCCGATGTTGATGACAGACGTTTCTCATTTATATATATATAACTCTAAAACTTGGTCACAAGAGCAATTGCCTAAACGGTGCATGAAGTGAAAACAATTAAATAAAATACTAGCAATCCTTTAAATCGCAATAAAATAAGTTCGTTCAATGTCATTATATATTCTAAAACACAGATATATGTGACCAGTAAATAATGTATGGGTCTATAGACTACTGTATAAATTTTTCTCATATAAACTGTTAAACCAATAAATAAATTAATTAAAAACCACACAACAACCTTTGTGTGTAGAATGATAGCAAAAAAAAAAAAACGATTAAAACAGCCTCATTTTGCCAAAAATATCTAATACTATTTAGTATATGCTTTAATATTAGAATGTTAAGTTGAGTTCAGTAAAAGAATTTACTGTATAGAACCTCTGCTGTGTTATCCACTGTTGAGATGTTGCCATATCTTCGTCCGGTCTAACAGTGACCCGCTCATGAATTATATGGATTCGTCGGTCTACACATTGAACCCGGCTCCTCTAATCATAGGGAAGGTGTAGTTATGGTATTTGGAAGATAATCAATGTTTAAAGTGTTATCTCATATTCGAAGGATTTTCTGCATCCTTTGTTATTTCAGTGCTAGATAAAGAGACTCTCGAAGTTGCTCCCATCAAGTCTGCTCATCGAATTTACTGCTTTTGAAGGCGGTGAAGAATTCATTCATATGTTGTTCGGATAGAACATCTTAGAAAAAGGTTCAAGTTGCTTGATGTTTTGGGCGGAAATTGAGCTTTTGTGGCGTCACTGTAGGTGCCTCTGTAACACCCTTCCAGCTGGTACTGGCTGTTTATGGGACGATTGCCAAAGCTGTCACTGGAATGTTTCATCCCTGATTTACTGTGAGATGCATCCTTTTATTGATAGACTGGTGAGTTGTTTCTAGTTCATGGTTTATTTATGATTTTTAGATCCTCATTAGTGAAGTGTTCAGGAAGTATCGAGATTTCTCACAATTGAAACTGAAATACTTCATTATACTTTTCCATGTTAGTGCGCTTGTAATGGCTGATTTCATTGGTCATCAATAAGGTGTTTCAGTGGATCCTCTTTTTATGCGGGAATATATTCCGTTTAGGATGTGCTTCACTGAGTTCACTTTGTTTTGATATGTTGAGTTGCAACACAACAGTATCATTTCAGCTGTAGTTAGTCTTTACATTGAACACTGCACCAAAGCTGCTTTTATAGTCCTTTATACAAGCGCTTTCAATTTCTTTGATATTCTATTATTGATCGACAGTTCAGCATAGTGGATCCGTGAATATATGAGACACTTCAATTAGCCTTACAATGACCTGTAGTCTGACATTCCCAGTTGCGGTTTGTATACTTGCATATTGTAGCCACCGGCCAAGTTTCTTTGTTTTTAAAGCACCATTCAACCACACGCTTTTTCACATGCAGAAAATCAATTGAAGGGAGGATCTTCAAACATAAAAGTGACAAATGACAATGCCTCACAAGAAATGCAGTGTCCGCTGCTGACTCACTTGGGTGGGGGGTAACCTCACTCCACCATCTATAAAGACCGTTGCCCCACCAGCATCAGTCTTTCCCATGTAAAACAGAAGAGTAGCCACACGATTTCCTCCTTCGTGGTCTAGGAAAGCTTTCTCCTCTCGGGTAGCCATGTCATAGTGCGGCTCATACTGTCCGGCCATGCCGTAGTTATTGACCTGTAAAAATAGCATTGAGGCCCAGGAGGCCTGGTAAGACACAACTAACCCACCTTTTTTGGAAGTAACCGCGCGCCACCATCGGTGAATATGGTGGCACCCCCATCAACTGGCTCTTGGAGATAAATCAATAGTGTCGCCACTCGGTTACCCGCCTCGCTCGGGCCGAGTTTCTGTACTTTTATGTCTCTAAGTGTTTTCATATCATAATGGGGCTCGTACTGGCCAGCCATACCATAGTTATTAACCTGAAATGTACAGACAGACTCTGTTACCATCAATAACTCACTCTACAAACAGCTACTATTATATTACTAACGGATAAAACACTGGCTGTGTATTACACAGCCAGTGTACACAGTGTGTAACGGATAAAACACTGGTTATGTAACGGATAAAACACTGGCTGTGTAACGGATAAAACACTGGCTGTGTAAGGCATCATGTAGCCTCCAGGCTCGACAAACCCCGACAAACCCCGACAAATCCCGACAAACCCCGACATATCCCGACAAACCCCGACAAACGGGGTTTGTCGGGGTTTGTCGAGGGGTTTTGCCTCGGGCCCACCGGCTACATGAGGCCTTCTTGTATAGTGTTTTTCCACGTAAAGCTTGATGAATCCGTCTCGGCTTTTTGTTGGGAGACTCAAAAAAAAAAAAAAAAAAAAAAGCCTCCAGGCTCGACAAACCGGAAACCCCGTCAAACCCCGTCAAACCCTGACAAACCCCGACAAACCCCGACAAACCCCGACAAACCCAGACAAATCCCGACAAACCCCGACGTGTCAAGATATGTCGTATCATGTCGGGCCCACCGGCTACATGATGCCTTGTGTAACGGATAAAACACTGGTTATGTAACGGATAAAACACAGGTTATGTAACGGATAAAACACTGGTTGTGTAACGGATAAAACACAGGTTATGTAACGGATAAAACACTGGTTATTTAACGGATAAAACACAGGTTATGTTACGGATAAAACACTGGTTATGTAACGGATAAAACACTGGTTATGTAACGGATAAAACACTGGTTATGTAACGGATAAAACACTGGTTATGTAACGGATAAAACACTGGATGTGTAACGGATAAAACACTGGTTATTAGGGCCTTTCGTGATATCATGGATCAAATTAGTTCCAACGGGATCTAGTAGTACTCATTATTCTGCGGCCTGTATGTACAGTATTATCATCTCGAACATTTTTCAGTTTTCCAGACATGGATTGGGTTGACGAGTTGTCATACGTCACCTCGAGATGGAGCACCCAGGCTGCACCCCACTTGATTGGGTCTGAGGTCAAGTGACTATGACGTCACTCGAACTGCTGCTCCGTTTCCCGATCGTTAGACCAGGTGAGAACGCATGCTTGTTAAATTTTGCACCTTCAAAGTATATACCCCTGATGTTTAAACTAATTTTCGTCGATTTGAGGGTGTCCTAAATGGTGCAAATTTTGACTTTTTGCACACATGCAATTACAATATAAAATTATCTTTCAGATGCGATGGCACTGTACACTCACTCCATTTTGCCATTAGGGACACGGAGGGGTGGGAGAATCTGATGTTTATAGATTGTTTTATTTTGAAAAGGAGTTGGTGTAAATTATAATTGATGGCATTCGATAGTTGAGGTGATATTAGGTGGAGAATTGTTTGATTTCAGAAAATAGTAGTGTGGTTTATTACTGTTTTTACAGTAAAGTTGATGATGGTTCTTATATAATTGGGCACTTTACGCAATAGATAATCTTCCGTGAGGTCGTTTACTAAATCTCCCTTTCGCGATTTCTTTGTTTACCGTTCTCCTCTTATTGTTAGTTTTAGGGGAAGGGGGGATTTTCAGCAGTAATTGGGTTACCCTCCCAACAATAGAAAACTTCCCATGCGACACGTTGTTGAGGAAGGTTTAGAGTAGCAATTCTTTTAAATGCATGATATCTGTAAGATGAGTTCAGTTCTTGTACAACCTATTTGAATTCCTCTTTAAAGTTATCGAGACCCCGGCCGTACCTTGGTTCGCCCTTATTTTTGTACGGCCAAGGCTGATCTCTAAAATCTGTAAGTAAGTTGTAAGTCTTGTACTTACAGTACTTACAGTACAAGTCTTGTACTTACAGATTTTATTCTTCTTTTCTAAAACATTTTCACTGATACATGGCTGTTACTTAGTACAACTTCAAGTACAATTTCGTTAGAAACTCAACCGCTTTGAGTTAATTAAGTAAAAACAATTTGCATGCCGACTTGCGCTAATAATTATTGATGGATGAAATACAGCAGCAGGTTAAATGTTTAAGATTTCGTGTATGGCTCTATTTCTCATGGTGACTGCACTGACAAAGACAGCAACCATACCATCAGACTCTCACACAGAAAAGTACAAATCTCTCCTGGAAGAATTGGGCAAACCGGAAGCAGTGAATGGCGTGAAGCTTATGTGGCATACCATTGAGGTGATTTCAATTTATCTCAGCAGTGTTAGTTCAACCAAATCTGAACCCTTACAAAAATACCTGATAGAGAAAGATGTGGAGGAGGAGGACCTTGCTGATCAAGAAACTAAGGATGCCTTGATAAATGACGCCGACAAGAACATGGAGCAGGAAATGACTCGTAAAGAATTCCAGATTTTTGACAGAATCAGGAATGCTTTGGTGGATTTGATCTGCGACAACGAAGTTGAACTAAATTGTGTATTTTGGAGGTTTGCAACAATGAAATTTAATAGTTGATTTTGTTTTGACTTTTGATGTGATTGAAAACATGAAATTTTTCTTATTTGATTTATCCACTTACTTTATGGAAGGGACTTATTCGTATCACTAAAAGTTTCATTACTTCAGGAAGTTCGCAAAAAATGTTGAATCATGGGAAGAATCTCTCATCAACGATGCTAATCCCTAAATCTAAAGTACGCAGGTTACTGGACGATTGGAAAAGTTAATCGGAAATTCCAATTTTAAATTTTCAACAGGGACACTTCTTTAGTAGCATCAAGCATGGCATGTTTATCAAATCTTGACTACGCACATCGTACGTTTAATGGTATCTTAGTGCGATAAAAGGCACTTTTACATTCTTAGAATATTTCTTTTGATATAATTGGGAATAAAAATACCTTTCTTAATTGGATTTGGAAACAAAATGCAAATTTTCATTGGGATATTAACTTTCAATATTACACACTCCTTATTAGCAAATAGCAATATAATACTTATTACTTTTAACCATGTAGTTTTATTGCACATACAAGTTGTTAAGTGTTAGAGACATATGACATAACACGTAACGGTTAAAACACTGGTTGTAACTTGTAACACATAACATACTGGTTGTGTAACGTTTAAAACACTGGTTGTAACACTTAAAATACTGGTTGTGTAACGGTTAAAACACTGGTTGTAACACTTAAAATACTGGTTGTGTAACGGTTAAAACACTGGTTGAAACACATAAAATACTGGTTGAGTAGCGGACACTATACTGACCTGATCGAGTTCTGCGTAGTCGTGACTGAGCTCCGTAGCGTCTTCCATCCTCCGGTTTATCCTGCGGACGATCCGCCCCTTGTCCTCAGTCATGTCGTCATCTAGCCACGCTGTCTTGCTCACTCTGTACTCAGCGTTCTCTAATTTACCTGTAACATAACGTTTAACATAACTTGTAACATAACGTGTAACATGACGTGTAACATAACGTGTAACATGACGTGTGACATCACGTGTGACATAACGTGTAACATAACGTGTAACATAACGTGTAACATCACGTGTAACATAACGTATAACATAACGTGTAACATAACGTGTAACATAACGTGTAACATAACGTGTAACATAACGTGTAACATAACGTGTAACATAACGTGTAACATAACGTGTAACATAACGTGTAACTGGTAACATCACGTGTAACATCACGTGTAACATAACGTGTAACATAACGTGCAACTGGTAACATCACGTGTAACATAACGTGTAACATAACGTGTAACATAACGTGTAACATAACGTGTAACTGGTAACATCACGTGTAACATAACGTGTAACATCACGTCTAACATAACGTGTAACATAACGTGTAACATAACGTGTAACATAACGTGTAACATAACGTGTAACATAACGTGTAACATCACATGATCATTGATAAAAAATTGAGGTTTTTTAACCAGTTGTATCACATGTATGGTCATTGGTCAACGATGTGTTTTTTTCAGTTTTTAATAATACTGATTATATTACACGTTTGTTATTCGTGCGGCGTCTATCAGGTTCACCGACGATGTATGTATATAGTATACCTATAATGTGTACATTATCGGTGATTGATGCTAGCTGCGCTCGGCTGAAATGAGGTTGAAATGAAGTTGAAATGAGTTTGAAATAAGGTTAAGTTACCTGTGTTCTTGTTGTGCACCGTCGCTCTATTCAAATGAGGTTGAGCGAGTTCCATCATTATATTAGCCTCCTCGTCACTAACTATGTCGTAGAATACGACAATCCGGGGGGAAGGCCAGACCTAGATAGTAGATATTAATTAAAACCACGGAAATTTGTTTTAAATATTATGTTTAACATTTTTAAAGTTCACTTTGATATTTAAAAATGTTAAATTTTTAAATACTTTGTAAGTGCAACATTTTCTAAAATAAGTTGAATATTATAAAGACAGTAACCATGAAAATTGATAAGGAGTGGAAAGAAAAGTTAACTTAATAAGAGTTAATAAAGTACTCACAACTTCAACTTTAATGGGCTTTAGGTAGCTCCTGGGTGTGTTTTGTTTGTAATAACAGGTAAGTCTTTCTATCTGCTGCTTGATCTGGGGAGTGAGTGCAGGACGTTCTTTACACAACTTCTTATACTTCTTTATCCTTGTTGGGGAGGAATGTGGTGATATCGTCACACTTTACAAGTTTATTAATTATTTAATAGCTTTAGCTTATTATATCGTCACACTTTACAAGTTTATTAATAATTTAATAGCTTTAAATGCGTCTCCAGTCTCCACCTCCGAAGAATCCACAAACTTCCAGTAATTCCGTACAAATTTTGAAATTCCATCTCCACTACCAGTACATGCGCTAAAATGTAACTCCTCGAGAGCGAGGGTAACAGTTGACTCTTACAACATACCATATCATTTTAATATTGCATTTATTTAACACTCAGAGGCTTAACATGTAACAGAAGACACGTATAAACCACCCTACTACTACACGTATAAACCACCCTACTACTACACGTATAAACCACCCTACTACTACACGTATAAACCACCCTACTACTACACGTATAAACCACCCTACTACTACACGTATAAACCACCCTACTACTACACGTATAAACCACCCTACTACTACACGTATAAACCACCCTACTACTACACGTATAAACCACCCTACTACTACACGTATAAACCACCCTACTACTACACGTATAAACCACCCTACTACTACACGTATAAACCACCCTACTACTACTACTACTACACTGCCACACTATATTAGATAACCTCTCGAGTAGGATTAGCGCATTAGTAGGGGTTCGAGAAAGCGCTAAATTTGAAATATTTCAAAACATTCCATGATTTCCAACTGATATGTCCACACGCCCTCACATTTTGTCATGTACTTTTTAAAAGTTATTCAAAATCCTCGCATAACTTGCCATAATTAAAGTATCAAGGACCCAGGAGAAAATAAAATAACGGGTGTTACAAAATTAGTACAGAAGATGTTCAGTAGAATTACGTGAAAGTGATGAAAACTATCGAAGTATGATGAAACTGTTCCTGGATCAACAATATTAAAATAAAATCTGTTCAGTACATAAACTACATACGCTCCTGTCCATAGTTTATTATTTTCAGATTTTAAGTAAAACAAGTGTAAACAATAAAAGTAACGGTAGACAGGTACTTTCAGAATTAAATTAAACAAGTGTAAATAATAAAAGCAACAGTACCTCTCGCCCCACTTCTTATAAACAAGTGTAAATAATAAAAGTAACAGTACCTCTCGCCCCACTTCTTATAAACAAGTGTAAATAATAAAAGCAACAGTACCTCTCTTAATTAAATTAAACAAGTGTAAATAATAAAAGTAACAGTACCTCTCGCCCCACTTCTTATAGTGAATTAAATTAAACAAGTGTAAATAATAAAAGCAACAGTACCTCTCGCCCCACTTCTTATAAACAAGTGTAAATAATAAAAGCAACAGTACCTCTCGCCCCACTTCTTATAGTGAATTAAATTAAACAAGTGTAAATAATAAAAGCAACAGTACCTCTCTTAATTAAATTAAACAAGTGTAAAGAATAAAAGCAACAGTACCTCTCGCCCCACTTCTTATAGTGCCTGTCCTGAATTTCATCCTCAATCGTCTCCTCTGACAGTATAGTCTGGTCAGCCCCAGGGTACAGCTTAGGAACGTATGTTATCTCCACCTCTACCTCGCCATCCTCTTCAAGACTGGGGAGAGGCTCCGATACCACACTTCTCTTCCCTAAAACACACATATTATTAGCAATTTAATAGTATGTTTCATGTTTAAAGCAGGAAAAGAGTTTTACCATTATAATCTTCACGACATCAAGATTCACGGTCTGCTTCTTTGAATTGTATAACTAGAGATACTGTGTCAAAACGTCAATATGTGCTCATTTAAGTATAACTGATGTCAGGTGAAAGAGCTGGATAAAAAGGGGAGATGACAATATCGGAAAGGTAGAGTAGTTTGAAGTCTTAGGTAGACATGGGATGATGATAGTGATGGTGGGAACTTGGAGAAAGGATTTGTAAGACTTTTAAATATCTAATCATTTGCAGTAGAACACTTTAGTAATCAATAAAACGTTTAATAAAAGGTGGGTAGTGGTACATACCTCTGGATTCGTCAACAGCAACTTCTCCCTTTTCAACAAGCCCTTTGAAGAACTTCATATTGCCTTTAAGTCGATCATGGTCAGGATAGTGAACCATCATTTCAGTAGTTATCTCCACAGCGTGCTGTATTTCCTCTGTAATATTTCAGCATTTTCAGCATATTCAGCTGAATTCCCCTTTTGATATTCTATTATTCGTCTTTAACGCTAAAAATCCCCAGTTTTTTTAATTCCAGCAAATTTATTAAACAAAACAGAAGCATAGCTTACCAGTTTTATACAAACAGAAAGCAAAGTGGTCAGTGATGTCGAACCATATTGTGGTGGAAGGGTCGTGTTCTCGGAATGTTTGGAGTTGATAGTAGGCTTGTTGTCCCCAACCTGCACACTTCCGCCACTCTAGAGATTGGAGAATTAATTAATACCTAAAATATATAAATGGCTTTTTAAAATTATTGAGACAACAGGTTTCTAAGTTAATTGCAACCTGGAAGTTAAAGTAAATAGTACAATTGAAGTGAATGTGCGTAAGAGTTAAGTGACCTTACCTTCATTTTCATATGCATCCTTAACAAATAGCAGGAGAGCCTTAATGTTAAGGGGTTGTCCTCTCACCAAGCCACCGTCTCCAGGCCCTGAAACACAGAGGGATCAGAAATGTACCAGCTGTACGAGTAGTATGAACAGACGGCATTAACCGTTATTAAATATCTAACTCGTACATTTTGAATACGTTCGCACGATGCACGATTTAAATAAATACCTACTTTTCAGAATTTTACAGAAATAATGTATCTTGTAAACACTATCTCTCTCAAGGGCACTGTAATAGCTATGTTGTCCCCCTTGTTTGAGAAGCTAGGTCGATACTTTGTGCACCATGATTGAACAATAGCAAACTGAAAGTTCAATGGCAGCCGCTATTGTTTCTACTTGCCCTTCTTGACTAAGTGCAGATCAGAGGAGACTGAGTTAAACAATTTTAACAAACATTCCTGAGATGACAAAAGAAAAATAGCACAATCCGTTAATTAGTGCATTTTAGCATTTCTTGATCACTTTCTTGAATCACGTTTTTTTCATAGTTGGGCATTTTTTGTATTGGCTCCTAAATATCGAAGCTACTCTGATTTCTTACTGTGCTTACATCTATCATATTTACTTGATGACGTATTTACTTGTTACATTGCCAGGTTCTCAATGGTCTTGTAGCCGAACCTGTCATTGAATGCTGCCCCAAATTAAACTAATAGTGTAATTAATAAAAGGTAATATACCTTTTAATATTCGGGCCCTTGCTAATATATTGCCTCATTATCTTTTTGATAAAGCTTACTAATTGCAATTTAAGTGTCATGAACACAAATTAGTGGTTTCGTGTGTTTCCCAGTATGTGAAACACACGAAATGTACTGTCATGGTAACAGAGTGTAGGCAACAGTACCTACCCAGTGGATCTCCCCTAGAAAAGTGGCCAGCTTTGATTTTGTAAATATCCTGCAGTCGATGTATAGCTTTTATTGCTCCTGAAGAAAATATGTTTGATTCGATGCGATGAAACCCCTTTCCCCGAATTAGTTTAAGTCGCTAAACTGGTGTAACAACAAGTTTAGTTAGTACTTGGTCCCGTAGCGGGAGAAAGGAAAAAAAGCCAAAACTTAGCTGCTTCACCAATAAGTTTGCTGATATAATGTCCTTACCTTTGACATCATTCTGGCCAGGAAAATATTGTCTGTAATTTTGGTATGCTGAAGTGATGGCCTCGCTCCTACTATTTGTCCATTCTTGCAGGTTATTCCAGTCCGCAACAAATCTATGTATCACATTAAACTGAAACAAAAAAGACAAATGCATTTATGAAAAATTTGTTAAGAACCCAAAAAACTTGAATGGTCTTAAATTAGAGGAATTGAACTCAAAATAACAAAGTGTGGAGTTAAAGTTTTTATGCCAAAAACCTGATTGGTAGGGTAGCTAATGTATGAGTCTGGTTCTGTATAGTTTTTACTGTCTGCAACATACTGCTGAAACCGTTCCAACGTGTTGAGACGCTCACGTTCTTCCGAGATGTAATCCCCAAGCAATTGCACCTGGAAGAAGTACTTTTAAGAAAGTAACCAATGATGCTGGAATGTTATTGATTAATTTTAAAAGTCAGCACAGATCTTTATGTTGAAGACTGGCTGTATTGCAAGTGTTCTCTTAATATAATTTTCTGTTGACACAATTACTAGATCATCTGAAACACAGGGATATAGAAGCCAAGGCACACGGTCATCTGCGTCCGAAAGGTGTCCATTTAGCAATTGGGCCCATAATTACAAACAACAATATAGAGTTGGCTTTAGGGAATTTTTAAGGAATACTAGATTCATCACAGCAGCCAGTTGTAAATTTTCTCACCAGTTGATTCTCGATCTTGTTGATATGCCTTACATTCTCATAAGAGCTGTACACTTCTCCAGTTGCTTTCCAAAACAGGTTCAATAGAATAAACAGCAACATCCTGATGCCTATCAAAAATTATTGTGATCATCTCAGTTCATTATGTATATAAATTTATAGACATCCCAAAAATACAGGAAAATTAACATTAGATAAAAATTCGATAAATAAATAAGTAAATAAAAAGAATAATCAATGACGAACATCTTCTTACTAATTTGATCCATTGAATATGAATTTTTTTAAATTATTCCTGGTATATCGATATTATCAAAAACATCAATGGAGAAAATTTCGATTTTAAAAGAATCATTGGACAATGGACACTATAGTTAGAATGATAGTTAACAGGGCAGGATGGCACTCAGCTGTTCGATTCGAATAAGCACCACAACGAAAACTACACTTTAAAGTTATGAGGGAGTTGTCAGGTAGTGGCGTAACGTTGCCCCCTCTACTCAAACGTTCGAATGTAAGCGCACGCATGATCTTTGTGAAGTCATGTTGTAAGGTGTCCAATCCTCGTTTAGACGACTCAGCCATGCAGTTTTAACACACAGTTAATTGCAAATGGCTACAAAGCACATCAACCAGGGTGTCCACGACACCCTGCAATTTGAACTGAAAGAAACTCTTCTTATAACAACCATGCCCTCAATCAGTTTCGTTTACCAATCTAGTTGCCTTTGGAATTCATTCCGTCAGATGTTGGCACTGAACGACCTTGAAATGACTCATGGTGTATTCAAATCAAAGGTAAAAAAAGTTATTCTCTCGCCCCAGTGTAAAGGTGACCAGAATTCCTGGGCCCCTTTGGCAAACTTCCTGAACTCAGGCAGCTTGAACGACTGAATTTGAAAAGTAAAACTTCTTGTCTGAATGAACTATTAGAACCTCAAGAAGCTCATCACTTAACGTAGTTTAATCTTCAAAGTGAGTTGTACAATCTAGGTTGTTTTAAGTAGCTGTTGATAGTGTAAAACAGGAGTGACCTGATCGTTTTCATAACTTCGCTTTACAATTTGTACCATAATAAAACTAGCACTGCCATGGGGTTCAAAAAGGGTCATTGTAAGCCTCCAGCATAATGGTCCTAAGTCTCTGCCCCATGCGGTGCCTGTCAGCATCAGCTAACAGAATAGCCCTAACATATCGATCAAGTCACAAATTAGGTCCCTATAATGATTTAATATTGTTGAATAAAGAGATTTGAATATAATATTTGTTTTATTTTGAATATTTGTTTTATTCTAAACTATCTGCTATCATACTGCGCGGCTGAGATCATGCACGTGTGGTGTCCTATTTCACTCATTTTATAAGATTCCGTTTTTGCTTGCTGTCAACTGTTACACATTACATACAGGCCCTGTGTGTAACTGTAATATGTAAAACATGTGGGCTCCCACGAGCCTCTGGCCCCCCCTATCGGCACTCCTCCCCTTTTAGAGCCCCTCCCTAAAATTAGACAAATTAGGAGATTTTAAAGGATACGCCGGCAAAATCTCTTGCGCAAAATCTCTTGCACAGTTTTGCTAGTACTGTAGCTAGGTTTTTCAAAATTGTCCCACATTCAAACGACGATTTGGCGCTTCTCTAATATGGCACCCCTCTGCACAGCTGGGTCAGCGGGGCCCTTTGTTACGCCACTGTTGTCAGGCTGAATTTTAGGGGTCATGGGTCGAGGAAGGTAATATGAAGGGACAGTAATATGAAGGTATGTGCTTCTGGGGTTTCTTCTCTCGAATACACAGGCAAATGGTAAATCTGAATCATTGTAGTTTACAATGAGCATTTCAGAAGATTGCCTTATATGAACAGAAACATTCCTAGCACACAGTGGATCTTCCACATACAAAATCAGGGTGACACTATTTGACAGTATTAAAAATATATTAACAGATATTCATGTCGAGCAATATCGTAATTTGATAATTTCACAGTGCGCAGTGATGTTACCTGCAGCCAGAGATATGAAGTGGTTGATAAAAGTCATTATCGTAGGAGATATTAGGTGAGTGAGATATGAAGCAAGTGATGTTGATTTATTTGAGTTTTGATTGAGTAGTCAAAATTTTAATGCGAATGGAAGCTTAATGCGAAAAGTTGTGATAAAGGGAAATTCTGACATGTTACAATTTTCCTGTATTATAACTTTTTGTATTATACTTCCATTCACTTCCACCTTTTAGATATTATAAAATGTAAAATGTTGTATAATACCATTAATAAATAATTAAAATAATTAAAGACATAAATCGTGCTATGGAACTACTATAATAAATCAAATCAAATCAAATCAAATCAAAATATAATGACACAAACATCATCACACATCATCAAAAATATATCTACTAAAGTTTTAAAAATATCTTAAATCTATTGGCCTAAACAACCAAGATAAAATGAATCTAATTTACATACTTTCCACTACTATATAAGTTAATAAAGCGTTTCTTAGCAACATGAGGATTACACACAAGATATTCATTGTGCTTCTCTTTATTAGTAGCATAATTTAATCCCTCAATCTTCCCTAATACTTCGTCCGAAACATACCAAAAATGAATATCATTTACGGATCCGTTTAAAATAGTCTCTTTTTTGAAAGCTTCTAATCTTATTTTAAAACTTAACACAGTCCCACAATTCTTGACATCCGAGGGGAGTTTGTTCCAATAAGGTCTCACCCTCTCCGGAAGAAAAGAACTGTGGACTTTCTTCATTTTACTGCTACTTTTACTGCATCTACTGTTTGATACCACATTAAAACCAGATCTGCTCATACTGAACAAACCAGCTCCGTAATTGGCCAAACCACTTATCATTTTAAAAGATTCAATGAGGTCCCCACGTATTCGCCGCTCTGCCAGCGTTGTTAAATTGAGGATTTCCAGTCGACGACTGTATGGAAGAGTACCCACCTCGTCAATCAGACGGGTAAACCGCCTCTGGACACTCTCCAGCTCCAAGATGATCCCCCAACTTCCATGAGCCGCAACTGGACTCCACAATTGAACACAATACTCTAAATGGGGTCTTATCAAAGCTTTGTAAATGGATATCATCACAGATTTTTCCCTGATAATCAAATTTCTAACAATCCAACATATCATTCTGTTGGCTTTAGATATTGAAGCCTTAATCTGTTCATTCCAAAGCAGAGAGTTATGGGTTATAACTCCCAAGTCTTTTTCCTGTACAGATTCTGCCAATGTAACTCCATTAAGAGAATAACTTGATCTTGGGTTATCGTTAACATCTAAATGCATTACTGAACACTTAGTAGGATTAAACTTTAAAAGCCATTTACTCTCCCACATCTCTAGTTCGTTCAGATCATTAGCTATAGTTTCATGCTCGGAGGCATTAGCTATAAGCTTAAGATCATCAGCAAATATTTTAACTTTACTTTTAATGTTATCTGGTAAATCATTAATAAATAACACAAATAGTAATGGTCCAAGGACTGATCCCTGGGGAACTCCTGACCATACAATCTTCCACTCTGAAGTTTCACCTTCTACACACACTCTCATAGTTCTATTTGAGATAAAATCTGTAATTACACTAAAACTTTACCAGTTATCCCTAGACTCTCTAGCTTGTTAATCAAGCGATAATGGGGAACAGAATCGAAAGCTTTACTAAAATCAAAATAAAATAAGTCCACAGGAGCACCTTCATCTATTAAATTAAGTATAGTGTCGAAAGTCTCCAAAAGATTTGACAAACAAGATTTTCCTTTAACAAACCCATGTTGGTCCTTTGAAATACGGTCTTCTAAAAATTCTAACACATGGGATCTAACAAACTGTTCATAAACTTTACAAAGAATACAGGTAAGAGAAACTGGTCTATAGTTAAGAGGGTCAGACTTAGAGCCCTTTTTAAAAAATCTATATAAGAAAATTGTAAATACAAAAGATTAAAAGTTTAAAAGGTTTTTATACATTATAAACCTGCAACATTACAAATAATAAATAAACTAAAACATAAAAGTGATCAAATAATTTGTTGTTCAATTAAGTAAAACAAAATTTAAGTAAAACAAAATTTAAATTTTATTGCCATTACAATGAATAATGATATCATAATAAATATAAGTAGACATCCGATAATAAACTTGTTACATCCAGTACAACCCAAGATGTCAGCCGACACGACTTACAAAAATAAAGAAAGCTAGCATGTTATGTTCATTGTTCATAGTTTATCTAACGAGCATGCTTAGCACTTAGGCTGTACGGAAATAGCTTTAATTCTACGTCATATTAAAAACTTTACATCATTTTTGAGATACAAAAATAAATTTTAAAATAAATAACTCTTTTGCTGCTTAGGCGCGGCACCGCGCTTGTTCCACATGCTATACAGTGTGTAGCAACACATCGCTGAAAACAGAAGCTGAATGAGCTATAACATATAAGCAGTGCGCCGCGCCTAAACCTAAATCCATAAACTTTAAATATTGTCAAGATATTAAACGAGTTTTGCAAAATAATATAGCATGCTGACTTCGTAGGATATTACAATTATACCAGTGCCAGTTCCAAATGTGAGTCCGCGCTTAAACCAAAAGCAGTTGGCAAAAGGAGCCAGTTGCCTGCAAGAGCTTTACTAGCACCCGATTTACCACTTTTGGAGCACAAACTCAAACCTAAAACCGGCCAAGCACAAAAATATGTTATCGCCACGATTGGGTGGATTGATTCCCAGAATATTTATCAGCACGCGGCACTAATAATATATGAAGTTCATTATCGAATTTTAGATATGCCCTGGATCGTTTAACACATATATAAAAGGTTATTAAAAAAATAATTAATGTTTGGTTCGTATAAATCGATATTAATCAATTATTTGAAATAGTATTTGTGTTTGTTATTATTAACTATTGAGTTGCGTTCGATTTAAATATTAAAACACTACTACAATACATTTCACAAAACAAAACGACGGGGACACAGAAAGGAGGAGGACAACACATCACACGGACGGAAACTGCTGCTGTTGACGAGTATCTGATTATATTAATTATGGGTCTTTTGTTCATTAAAATAAGTGTGATCATACTTCTAGAGTATATTGGGCTGACACAGTTGCTGCAAGGTTAACATTGGGGTCCAAAACCGGGAGTGTGATACAACTTAATTTCGCGTTACGTAGTAAGAGATACGAAATATAAAATATAAGATATAAGTGACGGTAGGTTCACGGATATAGCGCGGCGTCATTTCATTAATCTGGCGCGGTAAATCACGCTGGGTAATGAAATGATAGAGTTATACAATATTTAAGTTTCGCGCCGTACGTTTACACAATATATTTGTGAGTCCGTCCCACGTTCCAGACGTACACTCCAGACAAGTCCAGACACTAGTGTAAAGCGGGTGAGCTGATCAGTGTTCTGTGTTATATGTGTGAATATATAGTTTCTATGTTTGACTGTGGTGTGTATTGTGTGTGTTATTTTGTGTGTGTAGTATGAAATCTATATGGACTAGTTTGTATGTTCTTATTATAGGCACATGTCATTTCCATCAAAGTTGAGTTCTGACCATTCATCAGTGTTTCCAGCTTTTTGAGCATTGAGTAGCATAGTTTTAATGCGACCTTTAACAAGTGCAATTGGGGACGAGAAGTCAATCTTACTAGAAGGTTTAAGGAATTTATTCCACATATTCGAGGTTTTATATACAAACAAATTGGTTGCAGCGGGGTTAATAAAGTAGTTATCACGTCGGGGTGACTTTTGAAATAAATTGTACATCGGTATTGGAGTGTGAAGTTTGATTATTTTAAACATTTCAAGTAGACAGTGGTACTTATACAAATTATGCACGCAGAGTATTTTGTTTCTGCTGAGAAGGGGTTTACTTGATTCTCGTTTATAGAAGTCGGCTCCAAGTTTTTGGGATCCAATTGGGCGGGTTCTAGCACATGTTTTGAACTTATTACTGTATGCCTCTTGATCACCAAATAGAATACGAGTGCACTTTTTTTGAATTTTAAATATTGGTTCAAGCCTATTGTTCGATATGCCTCCCCACACTGAGATCCCATATCCTAGATGAGATTCGAAGAGGGTGTGGTAGAGGTCATTATACAGCTCTTTAGGTATAAATCTTCTCATACGGCAGAGTTTACCGACTTCACACTTTAATTTAGAACTAAGATATGCAGTATGAGGTTTCCAGTTAAGGTTTTTATCTATAATAACGCCGAGGAATTTAGTTTCATCAACACGTTTAATGACTGTGTTATTCAACGTTAAAATAAGATCATTACTATTACTACTACTACTAGTTACATCCTTCTTTCCTGGTGTAAAGTGAATGTAACAGCATTTCTTGATGTTAATGTGGAGAAGATTGCATTTCATATAATTGTAAACAGAATTCATTATAGTATTAGCTTTTTGGTAGAGATTCTGGACAGATTTGTCGACTACAAATATATTGGTGTCATCAGCGAAAAGTATAAATTTTCCTAGGTCTGATGAGTTATAGATATCGTTTATGTAAATTATAAACAGTAGCGGTCCTAAAACACTACCTTGTGGTACTCCACAAATAACAGGGAGTTTATCAGATTCCTCACCTAAAACTGAAACGTACTGCTGTCTGTTAGATAGGTAACTTCCAATAAGCTCGTTTGCGTTACCTCTTATACCATATTTGTCAAGTTTTATGAGAAGTTTATCGTGACTGATAGTGTCAAATGCCTTTGATAAGTCAATAAAGATACCTAATACATGTTGCTTTTCCTTTATATGGGAGTTTACATAGTCAACTGAGTAATTAAGGGCGTGGTTAGTTGAGTGACTCTTCCTAAAACCAAACTGGTTCTCAAACAAAACGTTCTGCGACACAAGAAAACTGTACAAACGGGAGTAGATTACTTTCTCAAATAACTTTCCGAACACAGCTAGGGTAGATACTGGCCTATAGTTTTCGAGATATTCTGTACCGTCTTTTTTGTATATAGGGCTAATTTTACCAATTTTCAGTCGGTCTGGAAAAGTTCCATTTCTCATGTGTTCATTAAATAATACTGACAGGAGTGGGCTTATAATCTTAGACGTTCGTTTGATGACGTGAATAGGGATGTCACTAGCTTTTCCATTCTTGAGTTCGCTAATGATTTTCTCTATTTCTTCTGGTGTACAATCGCTGAGAAATATACTTGAGGTATTTGGCCTTGGTAAGTAGTCCGTAAAGCATTGAATTGGACTTAGTCTAATTTGACCGGTTGTACTGTATGATTCATTCAACTTAGGGGCAAGAGATACAAAGTAATTATTAAATTCGTTAGCTATAATTCTACGGTTCATTATTTTCTCATTATTAATAACAAACGGGGGTTTAATTTCTCGTTTCCCTTTGCCGCGTATCTTATTGATTAGTTGCCATGTTTTCTTACTGTCACCTTGAACTTCATTAAATTTACCCATATTGTACGAAGTTTGAGCCTTTTCACGTATAACTTTGAGTTCTTTTCTATAATATTTATAAGTTAAGTACTCACTGCGCTTTTTGTTACATACTGCGCAGTGACAGAAGCCACCTTTTGTGTCAGTATCTCCTAGATTGCACTTGACTTTGCGAGCTTTGACCCAGTTTTCGTATAGTTCGTGACAGTGATTTATTGATGTTATAATTGCTGGTGTAATCCATGGATTGTTTTGCATAGTGCGTTTTGTACATTTCGGGGTTTCTAACTTGAAACATTCGTCAAAAGCAACGTTAAATGTGTCAGCAAAGGTATCAAAACAATTTATTACAGTGTTATCAAGACTATTGGATAGTTTGTCGGTGAACTTATCTACGTTAGAGTTACAGTAGTCATAAAACTGTTCATACTTAATCTTGCAATCGTTCTGGTCAAGGTGTGTGTTGAGTGCTAAGAATATGGGGTGATGATGTGTGATTTTGTCTTTGAATGTGCCAGATGTTATAATGTTGTCTAAATCATTGGTAATGATGTTATCGATGCATGAAGGAATACAGCCGGGTTTTTCATGGGTCATTACAGATATGAGAGGATAGAAGCCTCGACTGTAAAGAACGTGTTCATATTTAGCAACCTTGTTGCTGTCGCCGTGAAGATTGATGTTAAAGTCACCAGCTATATACGAGTGTCTGGGGACTTTGTCCAGAGTGTCGGCTAGTTCACTTAGCGCTAAGTCAAAATTGCCACTCGGAGGGCGGTATAAAACTCCAACAAAGGTGCTTGAGTTACCACTGTTGAATCTTAAAAATAGGATTTCTAGGTTTTCACTCACATAGGAGAGGGTATTATCGATTGTTGCATTTAGTGACTGGTGGATATAAATTGCAACTCCGGTGCCCTTCTTTTTCTCTCGAAAGGTTGCTTGGTAAAAACTATTGTATTCGGTTAATTGATACAAACTACTTAATTCAGGTCCTACATTTGTTTCAGCAAGTGCAATTATGGAAAACTTTTTGTTATATCGGCGAAGATCTATACACATAGTATCAAAGTTACTTTTGTTACCGTCTATGTTTTGAAACATCATTGACATTTGACCTTCGGTTAAAGTTTCTAGAGTTTGATTAATTTGACTTCTGTTAAGCTGAGAACAACTGTTTAAAATTTGCGAGAGCTTAGTTATCGTATCGTCTAGATCGATTTCTTCGTCGGAAATATCATATTTGAACGGGTTGTATCGTTTTACAGCAAGATTTACACATGTATTGCAGAGAAAGTTACCGCATAAATCGGTATTGACAATATTGTAGCATTTATGATGAGTTGCATGGTTACATTCGGAACACTCGACTATGGCTTGGCCCACATAGATACCCTTGCAGCAGTGTTTACATACCTCTTTAGTTAGAGTAGTCATGACGGTTGGTAGCCGTCAGGAGCACCAGATACTCGTTTATCAGCAGGAAGAGAGCGTGCAGTTATGTCACGAAATGATGTGGAGTCCACCTGATTCCCCCCTCGTCCAGCTCTGCGTCTGTCTCGACCACCATTAACTCTAAGAAGAATAGTATTTTTAATGATTGCTGCTAATTTTGCAACCCCCCTCCAATTGAGGTGTAAGTAATCAGGTTTCTGGAACTTCGTCAACCTTTTTGACAAGTGTTGGCTTAATAGCCCGTTCTCATCAGCAAAGCTTGGAAACCCTTCTACCAGTCTCACACCAAAGTTGAAAGGGAGAAGCTGGGTTTGAATCAGATAGTTAAAGAAATTGACTCTTCTATTTAAATCAATACATTTAGTTGGCAGCAGCGGACATATATAAACATTAGTTTTTTTATTGACAGCTTGAATTTCAGCAATTTTACTAGTAAATTTATTGAACACTTGTTTGATGTCAGATGGAGTTTTGACATTATCCTGCCTAATATCATTGAGTCCGCAGAGAATGACAGTGTTTTTGTAGCCGCAGGATTCGTATGGGTCAATGTGGTCTACAGTAGGTGCGAAGACTTGTTTTCCAGGAAGGAACTTTCCAAAGGATCTCTTAGGATCAAGTCCAAATTTAAGTCCACCAGTGTTCGAATCTCCCATGATGCATGTAGAAGCACGGTTTAGAGCACTAACAGATCTGAGGGTCACAGAGTATCGAACACCGGAGTCGACAGATCCTGATTCAATTCTGTGTTCGTACAAATCCTGACTTGCCCTGGTCATAGTGTATAGTGATCGTGGTGGACAAGACTGGTTGTGATAGGGTTCTGTGGTGCCAGTCTTGCTGAAAGTGACTGTGCAATGGTGACCTAGTGAAAGTGTGTGTACTGATGAGTCAGGGTGAATGAGGGGTTCGTTGTCTGAGTGTTGTGGAAGGAAGCTTGAGTGACCATCATACCGATTGATGAGAATGCTGTTGACAGGTGGAGAGTTTGGATGATCATTGTTCAGTTGTGTTATGAGTGATTGGAGTTGGTCTGGGAGTTGGTCGGATGAGGGTGATGATTTTGTGCCAGTGTAGTGATATCTTTCTCCAAAAGCCAGAACAGATCGTCCATTCTCATTCTTGAACTCAGATGTGCGAGAATCAAGCATTTCTATGAGATCCTTCTCTGTCTCTTCATCAATAAAATCGAGAGTGTGTTTAGAGACAGGCGGGCGACTGTGTGGGGGCAGCTGGGTTACAACCTGGGTGTTGAGCTCTTGTAATCCAGGGAGGGTCAGTGGATGCTCTGAGGAATGCTGCAGATTTGCTGTTGATTGCTTCAGCTCCTGCTTGCATACCTCTCTGAGCTCTTGTGACACCCGTTCAAGGAGCTTTTCAGATTGATCTGATGTTGGTGAGGTGGTCATGTCTGATGATAGGGATGTGACTTGCTGTTTGAGTTCATTTAGTTGGTTGGTGAGTGAGTGGAAAGTCTTGTCATGAGTTTGTAAGGCAGTTGTGAGGTTTTCAATTGTGGTGTTGAGTGGTGGTGTGGGTGATTTATCTAGGGTAGTGGCCAACTGGTCTGAAAGGAGCTTTATATCTGAGTCTAAGGATTTCCAGGGCTGGTCTTTTAGGAGGAGGTGCTGAAGGCGTTGGTCAAATTGGCCAAGTGTGTCAATTCTGTTACTGAATTGAACAAAGTCAATATCCTTAATGAGCTTGCAACAATTGGCTAAGGGTTCTAGTTGTGATGAAATGAGTGCTGTTTCTGCTTCCAGGTTTGACTGCTGTAGTGATAAAGTGTTTCTGCAGACGTGACAGACGTCAACTTGGGTGGATATAGTAGCAATAGGTGATACAAAACAAAAGGGACAGGGCCATTGTGTGAGATCATTGAGCATCTTACTATTTAGTCCATTAAGGCCTACGCAGTTCGCATGCCAATACTGTCCACACTTGGCACAGTCTAGTTTCCACGACGATTCCAGTGACTGGTCGCAGGGACATTTCCTCTTATCTCTGTGGGAGTGCTGGATGGCTGGCATTGCAATGTGTGGTGTAAGGTTCAGCTGGGGCGCTATTGAAGAAGCATCTAACTCTGATAGGGATGATGATGTGTGCTTCTTAGCAGTTTTTGATTTATGTTGAGTTGGTGTAGAACTGGAACTGGAACTGGCGGAGAGGGCTTTGTTTCTCCCTTGCCTCTTAGCAATACCAGACATAGTAGAAATCAGCTATATCTATGATCTAAAATAAACACAAGTGTGCAGCGGTAATGCAGTAAGAGCTTTCACAGCCAACAAAACAACGAAAACTTACGTCTCCCCTTGGGGGGCCTTAATACATGCTATCCCTGAACTCAAATTATTTGTTATATAGTAGTGTTGAAAGTATTAAAAAAAATTGTGCACTATATTCATGTCATTATTTGTGAATTAATATTTTTATATTCGCTTTGTACTAATTTAATTGCTCTATAAACGATCAAAAATAAAAAATGTCCATTATAAATTTAAATGCACGATTCAATTTCATGTTTAAGTTATTGCTATAAATAATTAAAATAATTCTATATAGTTGGAGGACTTCGCCGCTTCGACGCGCCGCGCGAACTAGCATTCTTGCCTTCGCAGAGCAACGATCTCGACGGATTGACATCGTCAATCAATCTAGTATATAGTTATTAAATATAATTATACCAATACATAATCAATAATATATAATAGAAACCAGTATAGAAGCGCGCTTCTTTGTTTGCTCATATCCGGCCCATGAATGCCTGAGCGCTAAAGTATCTGAAAAGTTTTTAGTGACGCTAAACGACACGCACTAAAAAAGTATTGCAATCTGATTAGATGCAGGGCAAGTCGTGCGTGCAGCGTTTTAAACTTATCAAGACGCGCGCGCCGTGTTTGACTTGACACACGCTGTAACCCCTTTTGAGCGCGCGCGCGGCCGGCCGGCCGGCGTGCACGCTTCGCGTGCACGAGAGGTATACAACGTGTAGCAATGTTTGACTCGTCGACGTTTAATATTTGGAACAAATATTTTACAAATATCACGTGTTAAGTTGCGAGCCACGAATTAATAATATTATCTGATTAGTTGAAGTATAATGGGACGGCCTGGGATTTAAATTATAGTTTATTTTTGTGTAGCATGAGTCTAACTATAAGCTAGTTGTAGGTTTATAACCTACCAAAACGCGCGCCGGGTTGAACTCGACGGACTTGTCGACGGTCTTGGAATGTTTTACAAGTATCACTCGTTAAATGGTTACTGGTTAATCGGTGAACATATATTATAACATTAAAGTAAAGTAAAATATAAGTAAAGTAAAATTTATGACATCACATCATCATTTAAAATTTAGTAAAATTGTATAGGTAATTTCTCACTATCTTAAACTATGCAAAGTAGCTTTATACATTTAACATTTAATATCCTGTGTGTACAGTGCATTTGAGATAAATATGTCTATATACAGTAGTTAGAAATTACATGGTTAACATTTTACTCAGATTTACAAATCTGAGTATGTATGATATCGGATTTAACTGATACTGGATAAGTTTAAATTCATTATGCATCTGCCTTACTGAAAAATCAAGGAAAGATTCCTTTAAATATTATCAATAGAATTCTATTATTATTGGTCTTTTGAACCAACTTCTATGATTTTTGTAGTATAGGCGTATTTTGTCCTGAATAATTGCGAGCATGCAGGAAGTTAATGATATTGTCGAGCATCTAGACCCACTTATTCCACATGCCTTGCAAACTTACAGGACGGTTCAAGTCGAAGGATGGGAAGTATGAACACCCAAAGCCAAAGTTGAGGAAGGAGAGGCCCTTTGAGAGAGCGAAAGACTGGAAGCTGATATGGGACGAGGATACACTACCTGCCCAGTTCCCACAGCACATCTACAGCACAGCGGAGAGACCCGACATTGTAGTATGGTCAGATAGTTTGAGAGAAGTAGTTCTGATTGAACTGACTTGTGGTGACGAGAGTAACTTCAGTGACCAAGTAGCACGTAAAGAAGCACGCTACAACAGAGAGCTGATTCCTGGCATCGACGGGTGCGGTTGGAAAGCTCTGCTCTTTACGGTAGAGATTGGGTGTAGGGGCTTCTGGCACCATACTGTACCAGCTCTATTTAACTACTTTGGATTGGCGAAGAGAACGAAGAATAAAGCCCTGAATGAGGCTGCTTTGGTCGCTCTTCGATGTTCCTATACAATCTGGTTAGCCCGCGACAACAAGAAATGGTCTACCTGCTACGACATCGCAAGGAGGCCAGAAGTCATAAACTGTGAAAGCTGAGTGTTGGGCCCATAAAACATGTTGAAAGCTGCAACCAGGATCACAAGTACTGGTGGAATACAGAATGACTTGCTAATCAGATTGATAGATGGAGTTGCTATCGAAAGATATAGAACTCAGGTAAACATCTAACCTGTAATATTAGTTTATTGTTGATTTTTCTTCTATGCAATGGTTTAATTATTCCTAGTTCCTGCCAAAGATTGAACCGTTCATGTCAGTGTTATCGGAGAATATAAAGTTTAGCCACATCTGGGCTCACAAACAATCAAGGAGGATGCATGTATTCTCTATTTGACATGTTATTGTGTACACTAGTATTTATCTCTACTGTTTAGTTTTAGTAATTTTCTCTCTTAGTAATTATTTCACAGTAGTCAAAAAACATTTATTTGAAGAAAACTGTTGATCAGATAGGTCTTTTATTTGCCTACATTGAGGGGCCATGTTGTGCTAGGGTCCAGACTATAGCATGAGACTCTACGGCATGAGACTCCACGGCGGCGCCGTTCTGAACAAGATCAGCCTGCTTCTCCATTTTACCGTGAAGCCTAATTTCTAGTTTTTATAAATACAATGCAAGTGCAGGTTTACTAATCTTAATCTACTCAACAACTCAATAGCCCAAGTCACCATACCCGTAGTATATTCCATGGTAATAGAAGAACTTTAAAGTTTTTCAAATTGTTGCTATAATTGATTTAAATAAAAATTTGTTGTTTTCTTGAATTTTTTGTTTTCTTGAACAGCGTGGGAACACGAAATTACAGGACTTTTACGATGGAAATGAAACATTTTCCAATTTACGAAAGAAATACAGCTAATTTTATACATATAAATAGGATGCCCGTGATCACAGGGAGTGTTCTTTGAAAGTCATTGCATCAAGAAATATCCATCCTGGCCTATGATACAGCCAATGAAATGTAACACTGTTTAAACACATTTGCAAATTTGACAACCAAAACTGATGATAATGTTATTCCAATAATCTATGCATATTGCACTTGCATGTACTGTGCAACACTGTTACTATGCGACTTTTTTCACCAAATCTGCACATGCCCTGGGAGGTCAAACATTGAAATAAATTTTTCGTGCACATACAGAATGAATGGTTAATAATTTAATATATATGTAGACCAAGCTCTGTGCACGGGATGCTTCCTGGAAGAATCCAGTTCTTTTAGCGGGGCACCCTACCTAAAGCCAAATTGAGATATAATAATCATATTCCTAGGGAAATAATCAGAAATCGAATACCAATCAAATAATATGATATATAGGAGTAGTAACCATATTTACTATGCAAAATGCCCCAACCTCATAGTGTAAATTTATATAAAATTCAAATTCCATACCACCACTAAACCCCAACAGTCAACACAACAGCCCAAGCAAAATTAAATAACTTCTTATATATACTGTCATACTACAAATTAATTAAACATTTGAAATCTGTTAACCAGAGAATAAATTTCTAAACCTAATGCAAGTGAAATAATTTAGATGCAATAATGAATGCCTAATAATAACATAAAAACAATATGATATTAATGGGGCCCAATTGGTTTCTATCTTCGATCCTGTATCAAAAATTCTTTTTGACGTATTTTTGTATTAGGTATATATTTTCTAGCCACTCTCTTGCTACTCCAAGTCCCCTAAGATATCTGGTATAAAGGTCCTGCTAGTTATATATAAAATATATTTTTGTTTGCTTTAATTGATACTAAATAAAATTGTTGTTTTCTTGAAATTTTTGTTTTCTTCTACCTGCGAAGGTCAAAATGACAATCTCATCTGACAGGACAGAGTTATTATAATGAAAATACTCTACCGAAGGTGCATGTTTGGCTGCTTTATTAAGATCTGAGTAAAATAGCAGGCACAGCTGCAGAATCATATCGTTCGATTCAGTTTCCTCCACATCTTCCAACAGATGGCAGATTATTGATGAATGTATTAGTTGGAAATATGAAAATGTTTACCTGTTGCCACCGGAAAGTCATGTTATTTCACCTCTCCATGCTGCAGAGTCCTGTTTTGCACGGCCTTACAGACCTTACAGTGCTGTAAGTGACCACTGGAACCATTGCAGGTTCAAGGGTCAAATTAATGACTTATTTTCGGATGCAAAAGATAAATTGACTTATCTCTAACTGTAGATCTTTCACATCGAAAATTTACCAGTCACTACTTTACAATATCTGAATTATAGACATTCTCCAATTGTCAACTTTTCAAAACCTATTAAATGGCTTATAATCAAGTAATTACATACAAATTGTGTGAGCCAATATCTTAATTTGATCATGTTATATAGTGATGGCAACCAGAAAGAAGGTCCTTTTAAAAGTCATTATCTTAGGAGATAGTGGGTGAGTGATGTTAATTTATCTTATTGACATTTCATATTTTCAGCAGTGATTCAATTAATCTTGGCGGTTAAAATATATATTCATAAGTGTTAGGAAAACCATTTATATCCGAACACAAATATAATTACCAAGATGAAGACTTGTAGTTACAATATAAGACATCAATAATTTAACAAAACTAGTAGGTTAGCTTATTGTTGGTGTTTACATATTACAAATTTTTCATTCCAAAATTAAACCTTTGTTTATTAATAAGAGCACAGCCCACAACTGATTAGAAATGCTATAACAATATTGCTCAGTCACTAATTAGAATTATGATTAGAATTAGATTCAAATGTACACTGCACAGCCATTACCAATGATGACACAATACACCATGAGTGTCCAGTGTATTCAGATAATCTACATTGTATTATCTAAAAATGAGCTGTACAGGATGAATCAAATCATTTGGCATCTAGACAACATTACGATGATGTGGCTACCATTTAGTTTTCCATTGACTACATGCCTTAGAAACCAGATAATATATCTGCAACAAATTTAGTCGAACTTTTGACTAAAATTGTTTTAAATGAAATATAATGTGACTAAATGAGTCAACAAATAATTTAAATGCCAATCAAAATTTTGGTACCAGAGGATAAATACTTCTAATTTACCATAAAATAGTTGATTACGACAGTTCTGCTAAAATATCATGCTTATCTTCGACCACATCCACCCATTCCTTCTCAAAGTAAAAAATTTGGATTTCAAAATGCTAAGTTATTCTTAGCTTGTATTTTCATATGAATTTCACTCAAATTAATGGATAAATAGATAAAAATGTTAGTATTGTCCTGGAAATCGCAAACAAAATTGAGTAAAATCTATTGTCTATAGATTAAAAATTTGAAAAACTTCTGGTTAAAGTATTTGTAGCCCAAATTTACTACAATTTTCTGTATCAGATTAATTAAAAAAATTTAATGAATATAATACATATATCTTGTACAATGTACATACATTTTTGCAACTTTTAAACCTAATCCTCTCAATGGTCGTTGGCTGGACCTGGTGAAAGTTTATCATTGTAAATAATAAACACAATTACTATTAATGTTGCAGGGTGGGCAAGACGTCGTTGATGAACCAATATGTGCAGAAAAAGTTTAGTAACCAATATAAAGCAACTATTGGGGCAGACTTTCTGACAAAAGAAGTTGTTGTCGATGACAGACTGGTGACTATGCAGGTATAAAATTTTGTAATTTTATTGAGGTTTCAAAAATCCACTGCAACCTTTTTTAATATATTTAACCTTTTTCGTATAATTATGATCAATTCGTGACAAAGCCTTTAATTGTGCAGTGTGCACCTTTTATCATAGTAGCTTGTTTTATGTTTGTCACTGTTTATCATGTCAGCTTGTGTGTCACAAGCTGAGATGTTGTGGTATGGAATCTTAATTTTCTAGTTGCCGAACTCTTAGTCACTCCATTGTATTTTCTCATGCGAAGTGTATGTGGCCCTCTTGGACCGAATATGCATACATAAAACGTGCTACAAATTCTGTGTTTGATTTTGAATATATTTCAGATTTGGGACACAGCTGGACAGGAAAGATTTCAGAGTTTAGGTTAGTAATAATTTATATATTAGCATAAGCAAGAAGATTTTATGAGATTATATCAGGTTAATGTCAATATGGTCATGATGTCTGTTCAATTAGTTCAATTAAATAAGCAGAGTACTGTTTTCTCGAATCTGCAAGTTTTAGCATTGATAGTTTGGGTGCAAATCAGATACAAATAGGGGTATACTGAGGGTCCTGATATTCTGTTTTACTAAAAGTAACCCCTTATTGCAGGTGTAGCATTCTATAGAGGGGCCGACTGTTGCGTACTGGTGTTTGATGTAACGCAGCCAAATACATTCAAGGTACGTGCACACGTGTACACATTTATAACATCATTTATTCACTTTACAGCGGAGATTAGTAACTTTGCAGATTGCATACTGTAACTACTAACTAAACTACTACTAACTACTCATTCGAGGATTCTGTCGCCAGAATATAAACTTCTATTTTCTGGAGGCCACACCCTTTCAACATTGAAGTGATTATATACTCGTCATGGCAAACGAGCTAGAAACCCTATTTTGTACACATCGAAATAGGTTTAAATCGATTGTGACATATGGTCGGAATAAATAATGTGCACAAAACGGAGGTTTCCAGCTCAAACGGTTTAATATAATAATCAGCAAAAATTACGGTTTTCAAGTTCCGGCCATTACGAGAAATGGCTGGGTGCGGGATAAAAACTCTATACTGGCACACTATTCGCACACATGCCGTTAAAGCACATATCATGTGAGTCATCAGTCATTAGGCTTTGCTATAAGTGCCCTGCTACCGTGTAATCCGGCAAACTACTAAAACTTGAAAGTATAATGTTAAAGTTCGGGCGTCCGTACGCAATAAAAGCCCATATATAACATGCGTTGCCAGGCTATGCGTTGCAAGCCCATATATTAGTGCTTTTCATTCAAACAAGTAAAAACGAATCTTTTATGTCATGTTTCCAGGGTTTGGACTGGAATTGCCCGCTTAAATATATATAACATGCGTTGCCAGTCTATGCGTTGCCAGGCTATGCGTTGCCAGGCTATGCGTTGCCAGGCTATGCTTGATTTTTAATGGTTTTATTTCAGACACTGGATAGCTGGAGGGACGAGTTTTTAATACAAGCATCACCACGAGATCCTGACAACTTCCCCTTCGTAGTACTTGGCAACAAAGTGGACCTCGAGAATAGGGCGGTCAGTTTACTCCTGCATTTTTCTTGCGGCTATTAATTACTTGAGCAGCCATTTCTTTTAACACCATGTAAAGCTAGTTTAACCCTAATGCATGGGTTCCTGTGATACAATGTACATTCTGACTTGTATGTACCATCAGTTCTAGCATTTTCACTGAAATTCTCGGAATTCGTAATAGTATTTATTTTACTACATTTTACACTCCTCGCCAAATCCACTCAACGTAAGGAACATATAAAAAGGTAGTTTTAGAGATAAATATACGAAACAAATGTAGAAACAGTAATTAAAACTAACGGGTAGAGGAAGGAAGCCACCTACCATACATATAATTTGCAAACTAACGACAAGACAACTTGGCATTGGTGATGTAATTATCACGTCATAGTGAGATCATCAATGCCTTATACATTATGTTATATATTAGCTGTTTTTTCTTTATGATTTATGTTTTGATTGCGGTCGAACATTGGACAATTGGACATCATGTCATACGTGTTCAGTGTTCGTGTCATTAGGTCATAACTGTTCAGTGTTCCATAGAACGTGATTGGTGAGTGTTTGTGGAGAGGAAATAGCCAGTACATACCAGAGCCAGTGCATACCAGTACATACCAGAGCCAGTACATACCAGAGCCAGTACATACCAGTACACACCAGAGCCAGTACATACCAGAGCCAGTACATACAAGATACAAGGGCAGGTCTCTCCCGAACGTTGGGATGGCCTGAGGTGCTTATCTCCTTTTCAGTAACCCTAAGCCACTCTGTGCCGAGGCACTATACTAGCTGTAGGGGGGTTAGTCCTACGAGCCAGAGAGTGTGTATTACCAGAGCCAGTACATACCAGAGGCTGAAGAATGTACATTGCAGACCTCTGTATATTGATGGACTTTTAACATTGTAGTGATCAGTAGATCTATAGACTTTTAAAGCTAAGACTGTAAGCACTATTGCAACTGTAAGCACTATTGTCAATATATTTCAATACAAATGGTCAACATGGCATTGAGTCATCTCGCTATTCTCGAATAGGTCTAACAATTTTCTCCATTCAATTTTGTCACTCGCTAATTCTCTTATATTTAAAATATTATCATAGCTAATCAAAACACAATGATACATTTAAAGATCATCACAAATATTCATGAAAATTTATTTATAATTAAACTTAATTTAATACCCCAAAATGGCAATCCATCCTTGAATACTAAAAGTAGAATAAAGAATGGTGTATAGGACAACTCACCCTACTTACTTGGGAATCACCTGAATCCTGATCAATATACATTATACATTATACATTATACATTATAAAAGCTCGTTAATGAGATCCTTGATTGGCTGACAGCCCAAATGATCCCTCTTCGTACCATGAGACAATGACTATGACTTAATTTACTATATTAATATTACAATATTCATATTAACATATTAAGGTTCGCATCTGGCCTCTTCCTCCCACCATATTTACATTAACATATTATCATCTTAACAATAGCTTCTTTTGTTGTAATAATTATAAAACTGAAGATTAGTGCTCGTCATCTCCCACAATGAAAAAGGCAGCTACTCTGACAACCCCGTGAGCAAAGACTGTGCTTGGTGCCAAAAACGTATTGGCCTCGAGACCGTCGAAGATGAATCACATGTTTTGTATGCATGTGACCTGTTATGTACTCAAAACAGAGATCAAAATTAGCAAAAGATCTTAATTAAAGGCCGCTAATCGCAAAAAGGACTGAAACCACCAACACAAGCAATGAAGCAAATCTCATAGACCATTGTATTATAGCAATTCTGTCACATTACCCACCAATACTATAAATTCACAAAATCACCTGACCTTCATATTCACTGTCACCGCTCACTCAATATTGAACCAAACACACAATTTAGTGTGAACCTGGCTCTCATTTCAAACCAACTTGGATGATAAATAATGCTATGTTTATTGTTTATCCGATAGTGTACAATTATGATGTCCCTTAATTTAATTTTCTAACATGTACGTGATATTAAGGTGTACATGATACTAACGTGTTCGCTGCACTCAGAGCAGACGAGTTCTCAGAATCACGTACCACACTGTTAAGGCCTTGTCAGCACATCCAGGTGCTCTGTAGAATGAAACATTATACAGAAGAGTGTACGCTTGCGCAGTGTTTTAGGCCCTATATCAAGTTCCTGTAAGAAAGCTGATACCATACACACACACACACACAAAAAAGATAAGGCTGCTCAGCAGAGTGAAGCAAATTATGCGGTCTATTATTAGGCCCTAACTTTTATTTCATGAATAATCTTCAGATTTTATCAGACTTGATAATTACGGTTGACGGACATTTAAGTGTGTACTATTTCCTGGGTACATGCATTATATTGAACCTAATCAATAGCTTGGGTGTTTCTTATCCTTACTTGTAATTTGACTCAAAATTTGGAAAGTATTACGTTACTAGTCTGTAATGCTCATCGCGTGACTTAAAGGGACACAATTACATATTAACTAAAACTACTAGCTCCTCACTGCCTCAGACTTGTGAAAATCTTCTATTATTTCCTCGAAACGCGCGCAGTCGCGCCGCGCATATTTACCTTTGCGCCGAATTATGTAGAGATGTAGCTGTTTACTATCTAAAAATAGATTAGCAGTGAACTGGTTTGATATCTGACACACGGATTAATGATACAATTTCGAGTTTATTGCCTGTAATCTTTTGAAATAACAAATGGAAATCCTAAAACCACCTCATCTACACGCTGTCCTTGCATATCGGGGAAACACATAGGGTTACTGATTAACTGGGAGATAGCGAATTGTTTATTGGTATATTATATTAAGTTTGAAAACAAAGCCTCGTTCAAATTGTAAACATTAACTTACCGAAATTTGTACAGGACTAATTCCATCTGCGTACACTGTCACAGTACTGATCCAACATCTCAGCATGAATATTACGTTTCAACAAATATTACGTTTCAACAAATTAATACTTTAGTCTGATCAGAAAACATTACAAATGGTTAACAAATGAAGAAGAAAAAAATATGTGACATGAATATTAGATTGCGGATAATAAACCAGATTCTCAAACTAATTCCATCTGCTTTTCAGGTCTCCCAAAAGTGGGCCCAGCAGTGGTGCCAGGGCAAGAACAACATTCCTTATTTCGAAACTTCCGCCAAAGAAGCGATCAATGTTGAGCAAGCATTCTACACGATCGCCCAGAACGCCCTTCAACAGGAAACGGACGCCGACCTCTACACGGAGTTTCCCGAAACGATAAAAATACCTCCTGGTGGCCAGTCGGGACAAAAGAGCGATTGTGGATGTTAGAGAGTGTCCGGTACCACTTGCCATGGAAATGGAGCACGTTACCCTGAAGATGGTGCCCGTTGCCATGGAAACTGTACATCATGACAGGAACTCGGAGCCTAGTTGACCAGTTAAATGGTGGAATACTGGCCACCTCCCCTCGGTGATCACCACGGCTACCATGGATAGTGTTGTCATGATATTGACAACATCTTAGTGCGGTTTTGTTTTATTTTAAACTGGGCTAATATCTATCCAAAGAGGCCCAAATGTGTAAAATATAAAATTGACTCTTTATAAATTGATTTGTCTTTTTAATTCAGAGAATTGTGGGCAAGATGTAAGAATTTGTTTCCTTGCGCGGCAGCTAAATACAGTGAGTTGTGACACGCAGTAAGGGTTACCATGGATAATATCTTCTTGTACCCTCAGTTAAAATAGTATTGAGGCTGGGGGACTTCCCCCGTATGATAGTGCTACTTTTGTTGAGTAATCTAAAATGGGAACTTTTTAATGATATTCGCATGCCTCAGTTACCACAGTTGCCATGGTAACCAGTTGAGTTGGAACTTTATATGCGCATGTCTCATTTTAAATAAAACTGGGATCAGTAGATTATTATTGTAACGTAAGTTTTATTTTCATCAAAATTATTGTTAGGTTTCCCATAGTTAGTGCAGGATAACTTTTTCTTTAAGCTGATATCAGCTGGTGGCAAACTTGTTGGCCCGGCCATGGATAAACTGAGATTAAAACGGACATTCGACAATAGAGAGTTAGAACTTGAGTTAGAACTTGATCCTTCATTATTCCGAATCATTCGATATGAGAAAAGAAATTGGATAAACTCAAAGTTTCGAGATTTGAAAGATATTGAACGTTGTACAAGTATTTCGTGACATTTTCATGGAAATTACATCAAATTCATTTTCCATGTTAGTGGTTTTGCCGTTCAGACTGAAAATCATTATCCTGCACAGCTTCACTAGGGAAATGTTTTAGTTGATCAAGCTTGAAAACTGTCACATGGTACATATTTAAATGGGACTACCTAGATATGCGACCTTGACAACGCCTGCACACCGTAACCATGGAGACACTATTTTAGTAATGATTTTAGAGGCTACATCTTATGGATGAGTTGTTTGTTTTGTTATATTGATTTGTGTGAAAATATTACCAGTAAATACGTTTTGATTTACTAAACCGGTACGAATGTTGAAAATTGTACATTAAGAAATTCCAACTATCAACCCTAGCAGTTTTTGCCAACTAAAGTACTACATGCCTTTGTTTTTCTATATACGAAGTAACCAATTAGGGCTATTAAATGCCGAACACAAGGATATTTCGTATTCGGATCATATCCCTGCAGGCTGTCTGTCGCTTAAGACCATGGTCGCTCTTAACTGAGCGTGACGTTAAGTGAGACCGTGAGCACCACTTCTTGCCAATTTGCTTTTGAATTACGGCCCAATCATGAAGTTAAACAGTACAAGTTGTGTTTTAACGGCAAAATACAGCGAATTCTAGCCCTTGAAAGTTGTAGGTTTGGAAGATCAATACGGCTGCTTTAATTCTTAAAAGTCTTAAGTTAGAACGGCCAAAACACCCTACTCGGCGTCAGCCAGCTGCATGGCCCTAAATGCCACAAATTTGTAGCCAGCACCCAGCATAGATCCAATGTTAAACTTGTTGACAACAGTAACTGATTCTTCAATCTTCATCGGAGGAAACTGCCGAATTAAAATACTAGCTAATCCTGGGTCGATAACTGAAATCATTTCATTTCTGGATTGACCTCAACGTATGTATTCCTTTCATTTCTGGCTGAGTTTTTTTTTTCAGTTCCCTAGCTATTTGGGTTCAGTGCAGCTCCTTGGTTTACTGGGTTTGTTTCAGTCCCCTGGCTGACTGGGATTAGTTTAGCTGCGTTGTACCAGCTCGTGAAGCACCGTTTGACCCTCTTCCTGACATCTCTCACCCCTTTATCTGTGATGAGTTCTCCGTTATCTTTCACAACCACCAATCTGGGTATTACCACCACACTGTGCTTTAACTTTAAGTAGTTTATGAGACTGCTCGAATGGGGTAATGACACCCAAGAGGTCGGGAAATGACTCGCCAGCTCCCTCATTTCCTCTCTAGTTCTGTCAAAACTCACGTAGATAACTTGCAGCGGGGCGTGGTCTGACTCTAGCTCAGAGTAGAATCGTTTGAAGAGAGATAAGAACTCCAAGAAGGGTGGGGACCAAGCGGCACCGTACAGCAAACAAATAACTTTGCCGAGCAGCGCGTCTGGGCTGACTTGTTGTCCGGACTGACCGAGAAAGTAGAATTTCTCTGACTCGGCAAATAGGACGTGTGTAGTTTGTGTACCCGTAACCATTTTCATGTCATCCTGAATAGTGATTAGTGAATAGAGTTTTTATTCTTGTCATACGTTGTATCGGGAATCCCGATTTTCGAGAATCCCGGGATTTTCGTTGCTCGGGATTCCCGAATCCCGGAATTAATTATTTTGATCGGAATTGACTTCACTAAACCAGTCCCATAACTCTAAGTCTGACCGTTTTCTTGATTAACAATTAAGCCGCTCGGAAATTACACGCGAACGAACACTTAACGGGTGATACTCGTAAAATATTTGTTTCAAATATTAGGACCGTCGACGAGTCCGCAACTCTGAACTCGTCGCGCGTCCTGGTAGTGGTAGGTTATAAACCTACAAACAAACACACATAACATATCCTGTAGTTATTTAGTAGTATTGATGGCCTGGGCCGTCCCCCGGTAACGCCCCTTACCTGATATGAGGAGTGAGGACCCCCGAGCGTGCTAAATCACTTTACAGTCGATTTTCGAGATTGTTCTAATATAAAAGGGCCCCCCGGCAGTTGTGATTTGAGACCAACTTCATTCCGCGATTTATTTTCGGACGCTGATTCCGAATCACCCCCTACGACATTGTATGTTGTATCACATCGTGACCCCCACGGTCGTTTCACTATAGTGAAAGTTTGAACGATAGAGGGGCGAAGTTTGAACGATACAGGTGGGTCATACAACTACGACATAGGGTTAAAATGCTCCCCTGACGAAATATTGGCGAAAAACTGTCTCGATCACGTGATATGACCGTATAAGGAAGTTAGTCTAAATCTAATTCATCATTAGGGTTTCAGTATAATTATATGCTTTTGTTAAGGATTGGGTTAGGGTTTGTATGTTTGTAACCTATAACCAGGACGCGCGCCGAATTGGAACAAATATTTTACGAGTATCACCCGTTAAGTTAGGGTTAGGTTTGGGATCAGATTAAAGGGTTAGGGTTTCGATTGTATCACGTCGTGGCCCCCAATGTCGTTTCACTATAGAGTTTCTACGATACAGGGGGAGCCGCGCACTCGTGCGGCGGGTCATACAACGTATGACGAGGTTTCGAATTAATATGGAATAGCCGTTCAGGACCAGCTTGAGAATGGGTTGAAAAAGTCACGTGACAGTCAACTGTAGAGTGATTAATCATCATCCGAGTTGTAGGTTTACAACCTACCAGGACGCGCGCCGAGTTGGACTCGTCGACGGTCCTGGAACGGATTAGATATATGGAACAGTTATTTTACGAGTATCACCCGTTAACATTCATGACATTGATCCGAGGACCCCGGGCTAGATTATGTCCACGAACAAATTGAGCATGAATTGTAGGTTTACAACCTACCAGCAACCAGGACGCGCGCAGAGTTGGCCTCGTCGATGGTCCTGGAATATATGGAACAGATATTTTAAGAGTATCACTTGATTCACGATGTCAATCGTTCGCAGCTCGGTGAGGCACAGTGGTGCATCTTGCGAGAAGCATTATTTGATGCGCGCGCGACCCAGTAGTGCATCGCGCTACAAGAGTATCACCCGTTAAAGCATGAAATGTGAAAGGCTGAGCGCCGTCCACTAAATGGTAAAACGCCCCTATAAATCAAGAGGCTTGCATATAATGAACATATTGACACGGGTGCAGAGTTGAGTCTGTACGGAACCTATATCATATCGTCATAGGATTGTTGTAGGTTTATAACCTACCAGGACGCTCGCCGAGTTGGACTTGTCGACGGTCCTGAAACAAATATTTTACGAGTGTCACCCGTTAATAGAATTGAGAACCCCGTCCCGCCCGATGTGCGATGATTGTGACAATGGGCGAGTATATTATATAAATCAAGAGGCTTGCATATAATGAACATATTGACACGGGTGCAGAGTTGAGTCTGTACGGAACCTAGTAGTTTCAGATCCTTGTTTAACTTGCCGTACAGCAAGGTCATCCACTACTTTAGCCCGGCGAGGCACATAACTCCCTCTACAACTCCATGACAAATGTTTCATATATACTAGCCGAGTTCACAAGAATATATCCTTGTGTTTGAGAAGAGCTCGTTAGAACTGCTTCCTTTCCCTTCAGTATCCCACAGTCTCTCGAGTTTCGTAACTGCCAGAGAACTCTCTTAAACAATTACTAGACTCGGTGATTATAAATCAAGAGGCTTGCATATAATGAACATATTGACACGGGTGCAGAGTTGAGTCTGTACGGAACCTAGTAGTTTCAGATCCTTGTTTAAGGCCAGAGGGGGGGGGGGGTAAATGGCACTTTTCTAGTTTTCACATATTTGATAATAGCTGCTGGAGACGAACAAGAAGAAAAAAACCAGATCAAAATCTGACCTTGCGTTCCTGAGATATCGCGCGCTAAATTTTGAGGTTTACCTGTAATTACATGTTGAACTGGATCTTTAAACGGCTGTAACTTTTTTGACCTTTCGATTCCTTAGTTGAGAAAACTGGCCACTCCCTGATCTTGAGGTTTGGTACAGTGGTTCCTTAGACAATTATCCTCATTTATTATGTGAGCGATTTTTGTTATTTGACTCGGTTCTTGAATTATGAGGTTAACCATGTCAAAAATTCGGAAAATTTAGCTGGTTAACCTCATAATTCGAGAACCGAGTCAAATAAAAAAAATCGGTCACATAATAAATGAGGATAATTGTCCAAGGAACCACTGTACCAAATCTCAATATCAGGGGGTGGCTGGTTTTCTCAACTAAGGAATCGAAAGGTCAAAAAATGTGTTTTGAGATAGATGCAATTTAGTGTTTTCAAAATTTTGAATATTCACTGGAATGTATCACAGTTCGTTAGTTAGGACTTTTTATAAACTTAATAACGTTTACTTGATCAGACCTGGCCGTCCCCTAAATGATTTTAGCTACTTTCAGTAGTTAATTTCCTTGTATTGTAAAAAATGAGGTTAACCAAGACTTCCTGTAAACACTAACTGCTTAAAATTTGGTTGTTAACCTCGCTTTAGACCATATAACACTGGGATTGGTTTATCAATATGTTATTATATATGTAGTAAAACATTTGCACAGTATAACGATTAAGTTTTTGAGGTTAAAATATAATTGATTAGTCAGGTATTCAAAAAATGAGAGGTTAACCTCATTTTTTAGCCATTTACGGGTAAAATCTTCTACTAAAATATGGTCAGTTCGAATCACCTTTGTCACGTGATTATAGTTGTAGGCATTGTGATACCAATAGATACCTCACTTCGATATTGTGGTACATTACATAAGTAAGAATCGTATGTATATTCCCTACGGTACCAAAATGTGTTGGTTAACCTCATTTTTTTCATTTTCCCAAGATAAAAGAAAGTCAATCAACACGTCATCTATTTAGAAATGTGTATACCGTAAACTTACGATGAAAATAATAACTCTATCATTTGATCTATTCTCGCTATATCTAAAAGACGAGGTTAACCTCATTTAATCACGTTTGGATATTACTTTTTCTGACAATTATGAACCTAAAATTTAGAGTTTACATTTGCTGACCGAAATAACAAAAAATTATGGCGTGTAATAAAATATTAACCTCAATTTTATTAACCTCAATGTTGTATAGTCAATTTTGTGAAAATCGGTTAACCTCAATTATAAAATAAAGTTAATCAGCTACAAATATGTGAATAGCGGCAATGTTTTTGTCATTAAAAATTAAATCGATTTAGAAAATAATATTTTGGTAGAATTTTTTGACCCCTTACCCCCCCCCCTCTGGCCTTAACTATATATAGCTAGGTTAGATATAATCGCGCGCGCGCGGGATTTAATTTAACGTACCGGCCGCCGCGCCCCATAAGTTTTTCTTTGCCTATACGTTTTGACAAAGTCAGCTAGTACCAGAAGATGAATCCGAGTTCGTGGAAACATTTGTGTCCGATTTGGAAACATGTTTTTGGCTGTATATGTCCGTAAACAGAGTTGGATTTGCCCTGGTATGATACAGTGGCTTGAGTACTAACATTTTAAGCTTCCTGTGAAATATTTCTATGATTCATATAATGAACGAAATGAACAAAAAATGAACATTATCCTAGAATTGCCTAAAATGAGCTGAAACCGATTGGTATCGCTTGGTATTGATACCACAAGTGTCCCTGAGAAGTTTGGTGGGTCTAGTATGTCCAGAAAGGGCTCTGGGGCAATGTTTCCATTTTAGTGTCAGAGTAGTTGAGCTCGTGGAAACATTTGTGTCCAATTTGGAAACATGCCTTTGTAGCCGCAATTATGCCTGGACTGACTTGAAATCGATCTGGTATGGTAGAGGGACATGTGTACTAACATTTCTAAGCACTCAGATGTGCGAAATATTGCCATGGTTCATGGAATGAACGAAATGAACAAAAAATTAACATTATCCTTGAATTGCCTAAAATGAACTGAAACCGATTGGGATTGATTGGCATGGTATTGATACCACAAGTGTCCCTGAGAAGTTTGGTGGGTCTAGCATGTCCAGAAAGAGATCTGGGGCAATGTTTCCATTTTGGTGTCAGAGTAGTTGAGCTCGTGGAAACATTTGTGTCCGATTTGGAAACATGCCCTTGTAGCCGCAATTATGCCTGAACTGACTTGAAATCGATCTGGTATGGTAGAGGGACATGTGTACTAACATTTTTTACCACCCAGAAGTGCGAAATATTGCCTTGGTTCATGAAATGAACGAAATGAACAAAAAATGAACATTATCCTAGAATCGCCTGAAATGAGCTGGAATCGATTTGAGGGGGGGGGGGGGGGGGGGGGGAGTCAGTACCCATACGTTGGGTCTTATACCACCGCCGTGTTTTATAATATATATTATATACATATATCAAATATTAATAATATTTGAGAGTTGTTGCTTTGCAGATGGCAATTCCGTCACCAAAATTTAAAAAATTCGATTTTTGGGGGCCACACGCAATCAACATTGAATTACTTATATTCGTGTTTGTGAACATGTTAGAGAATCCGTTGTAACATATTGCCTGGG